GGAGATAAAAAAAAAAAAAAAGAAGCAAAAAATATATGAATATGTAGTAGTTCAGTGATTGTTAATGTCTTTATGAACAATTTTTTTTTCTTTTTTTTGTATGAAGACCAGAAAGGTAATCAGAGAATGATTGATTTGTATTTTTTATTTCAATTTTTTTCCCCCTTTGTTTTTTTATTATCATTTAAAGCTCGTTGGTATTCGTAGTGAATAGAATATACGAGAAAGAACAGGGAAATTTTTTCTTTTTCTCTCTCTCGGTCTGTCTTATGGAAGAATTGATGATTGTGCTGTGGTTTTTATTTTTTTTAATGAGTTTGTTGTACAATTGAACAGTTACTTGATGTTGAGTATATGTTTTGATTGTATTTTATATTCATGTCGCTGAAGAGAAGAAAAGAGTATTTTAGGGACTAAATTTTGCATAAATGATTTTATCTGTGAATTATGATTTTCTTGGTTATGAGTTGATAAGTAGGTTTTTTTTGTTTCGTTTTTTTTTCTTAATTATTGTTTTACAGACTTAGAGCAAGATCATTTGAATTATTTTTTTTTTCTCATTTCATTTGGCTTACATGAAACAGTTAGGATCAAGATATGATTTTTCATATATGTTATTTTATATCTTTATAATTACTACATTATTTTTTTTCCTTTTTTTTTTTTTACTTTCTCTCTGCCCTTCAGTATTTTCCTCAATGCTTCATCTCAGAAAACGCTGATTTAAGAGAAGACTCTGGTTGCACGAATGACGTCACTCCCAGAAAGATAGCTTGTGGATGGCCCTAACGTTTGCTTTCTTGCCCTCTCAATTTTAGCCTGTGTCTTTGTCTATTTTATGGCCTTATTACCTGTGATTACAGCACAAAAGGGAATAGCTGTAGGACTACTTAGGGCAGTGACAATATATTGTCTTCTGCTTCTCCTCCTCATCTTCTTCTTCTTCTTCTTTCCTGTATCTTATTTTTTTCTTTTCTTTTCTCTCTCTCTCTCTCTCTCTCTCTCTCTCTCTCTCTCTCTCTCTCTCTCTCTCTCTCTCTCTCTCTCTCTCTCTCTCTCTCTCTCTCTCTGTATTGATGAGTAGATAAATCCATTTAGCCTACAAGTGGGATAGAAATTGATTCTCTGAGTCTGTGTTCTGTCCGTACGGTCATGTTTAGTTAATTATTGTATTTTTGGTTTTGTGATCTTTTGGCAAGATTTATCATTATGATTATTATTTCATATGTTTATTAATATTTCATATTTTTTAAGTTTTTTTTTTTTTCTTTCTTTCTTTCTTTCTTTTTCTTTTTCTTTTTCTTTCTTTATTCCTTGGGTATTTGTTCAGAAACATGACTAAGCAAAACTAAGAAGCTTAAGTTGCCTCATGTGATAAACGTATGGTATGTTCTTTGGATATTGCGTGTGTTTCTGTATGACTTCCCTCACCATTCTCAAGCACAATTCAGAACACACAGAAGCTCTCTCGGTAGGAACGTCAAGTGTGAAAACCAAGTAAAGGCTACGGACATGGGTGTTATTACTCTTTGGGAAGTTATGCACAAGTTTTTGAATTAAGGGTTTTTTCTCATAGTCTCAATGGTATTATTTGTGTTGCACGTAGAAGACGAGGTGTGGCAGCATAATGTGGTGACATTGGGAGAGGGAAAACTGCAGAAGGAAAGGGACACATGCGCTTACAGGTTCCGTGCCGGAGCTTGGGAGCAGCAGAAAGACCACAGTGGTAGGGAGGCTGATGGCAGGTGGGGTGGGGGTTGGGGGGTTACTATCCACCATCAACTCTTGTCTTCCATTTTGCTAGAGAGACATTGACTACCTGGTACTAGTAATAAGAGGTGGAGTTTGTGTGTTTTCTCTCTCTCTCTCTCTCTCTCTCTCTCTCTCTCTCTTTCTTTTTCTTTTCTCTTTCTTTCTTTCTTTCTTTTTCTTATATTAGCTTTTCTCAATTTTTTGTGTGTATTTTTTTCTTTGAGTTAATGGTATTTTTATATTCATGATTTTTGTTTCCCCTTTATTTCATTTTTATTTATTTTTTATCTTTCAAAATTTGGGGCTCGGTCAGTCTAGATTATCACAGCAATAGAAAGAAAATCAAAGATGGTGGTAAATTCAAGAATGAGAGCGTGTTTGTATGGGTGAGTGAATTATGAATTATATAAAAGTCAGAGAGTCGTCGAGTAAATTGATAAGTCAAATGAGAGGGAAAGAGAGATTGAGGCATGATTAAAATCAAAAGAGAACTCTGTTAGCTAATTCCAAGTGTCAGAGAAATTACGGGAGATCCCAAGACATCCAAAAATTAAATCTTTTCATAAATTTCATTATTTCAGTTTTGCTGATACAGTTTTGCACATTACTTTGCTTAGCAGATGTACATTGCCTTTTGGTACTTTACAGTCTTGCAGTTAAAAGTAATCTTAGTAGCAGTGTCTAAATAAAGCAAATATGATGGTATATGATCTTCAGTTACCATTCATTACCACTGATACAAACCATTACGGCTTTGGTTTTGTCCCTTAAACACAGACATTTTATAGGGAAAGCTGGCAGAATGTGGCAGTGGGCGTCGTGGTTTTATTTTGCTTGCCTTCTTGTGGATAGCAATGTCATTTTGATTACGATTCGTATCTGATCGTATTGGTTGGCTGTTAGGAAGGGAGGCTTTATCCCTTTATTTGTTTAAATTTACATTGGTAGAGTATATTTTGATAATGTCATTGATTATTATCATCAGATATTTTGTTCCTTTATAGCCATTCAGTTTTTCCCTCGATTATTTTCAGCTGGGAACATTTTTCTCGCGTAACTCTCGGACTAGATTTTCCAAGGCCCAATCCCGGCAGTTCTGATGCTTTAGAACCGCTGACATGATCACAGTCATAGGGTAGTTGGGCGCAGTCCTTTCCGTTTCGTAGTCGATTTCCCAACGCTGTCAGTCATGTGGGAGTATTGTCACTGTTTGGATTTCAGCTTTACTGTTTTCAGTTTGTTGAGGAGAGAGAATGGAGAGGTTTCATTAGTTTTCTCTCTGTGATTTCATGGCCCAGGTATGTTAAGGTTCATGTTGTGTTATGATAAACTTCTTTTCTTTTTCCTTTTTTTTTTTTTTTTTTTTGTATAATTATTTTAATTTATACACTTGTTCATTTGTATTTTTTATGCAAGACATGTTTTTCCTTACACAAACATATCTTATAATTATTTTCTTTCTTTTTTATCATTATTATTATTATTATTATTGTTATTATTATTTTATATATTATGTAGGGCTTGATGATCTTGGTCTCCTTGGCTCCCGACTGCACAGTATGCACTGGGGATCGGCATGCGGTCTCCTGAGAATGCCAGAATCCGTGACGGGATCTTGTGTTCCTAGCCATTCTTATCCCAAAATACTCTAGTCCTCTTCCCATGTGTAAAAAGAGAAAAAGAAAGGAAGAAGAAATACTGGATAAAAAAAAAGGAAAAATGGATATAGGGTAAGAGAAGGAAGGTGCATTGTTGTTAGTCTGGTACAGATAACAATGACAAAATGAAAGAGAGAGAGAGAGAGAGAGAGAGAAAAAAAAAAGTGGGGAAACAGAATACAAAATGCTGACGAAAGTGTGAAGGTTTTGCAGATGTTTTACCATAGAGGGGGGGTAAGGGTTTTAGAAATATGAAAAATAAATAATTCTATCATGGCATTCTGGATAGAACTGGTACTTTATTTTCATTTGATTTTCTATTTAATTTTCATTTTATTCTATTTTAATTTATATGGTTTTATTTTATTTATTTATTTATTTTATTTTATTTACATTTTTTTTGGCATTTTAGTGCTGTATAGGGTGATTTTCCCGCCTGCGGAGGAGAGAGGAGCCAGTGGCCAGAGCAGCCTTGTCACATCCTGGCAGTATGTGCGTTGCATGTAGTCATTTGTACATACGTGGACTGATTATGTGAACTCTTATGGAATGTGTAAAGTTTTTGAATCTGTACATAATTATTTTGTTGTCGTAATTTTTTTTATTTCTCCTCCACTCACTCTTCATTACTTCCTAGAGATTCTAGATTAGTGTATAATATTTTTCCATGAAAATGTGCAGATGCAACTTGGTGTAATACGCTATATGATTTTTTTGAATACTGTATATAATAAAAGTCATAAACTACCTCGAGTGAAATGCATGTTATGGTATGATTCGTAGCATAAGTGAAATCTGTTATCAGTATCATCCCTAGATAAGGAATCAGAGAGGCTATACCAGTACACAAGGAGATTGGGGATTATTATTATTATTCGACATCGGTTGCCATTTGAGGTTACAACCACAGGAGTTACTTGTGACAATAGTGAGAGAAGATGCAAGGGAGGTTTTTTTTTTTTTTATGAACAGTCTCTAGATTATCATTATTATTATTATTGTTGTTATTATTATTACTGATATGATGATTGTTATTATTATCATTATTTTTACTAGTATGATGATTATTGTTAATATTATTATCATTGATATTATTATCATTATTATTATTATTATTATTAATTGTTGTTATTGTTTTGATACTTGACGAGTTCCTCCTCTCATCTGGCGAGGAGTCGATTTTCAGCAGTTCTCCCATTATGACGCCTGAAACCGATAGCCAGGTTCAAGCAGTGGCATTCAACCATACTTTTAGACAGTAATTCAGAGTCCATTATTTCGATTAATAAGCTCGATTTTTTGATGTTTTGTTCATACTTGATTTTGAAATTCTCTTTATATTCTTTTTTTTTTACTTTTCCTGTCAACATATGGGTATGTATAACTAATAGACAAGCGTACATGGACAGGTATGATAACATAACACACACAGTTACACGTACATACGAACACTCATGGGCTTGTGATCTCATCTTTATTTTCTTTCATTTCCTTGTCTATAGTTAGATATATTTTACTCATTCTTTTCTCTGTGGATATGTAATTGATATAGGATTATATTCTTCTAAAAGGAAATACATGTAGGTTTCA